GAGCCATCGAGGCGATTTAGAGTAATTGTGCTGTCCTGGTCTTGGGACCACTGAGTTGACAGGGAAACATTATCTGGAAACCTCAGGTCTTGGGATAATTGTGCCGTCCTGGTTCCCAGGTACAGAGGAATGTGATTTCTAAAACCAGTAAGATCACAATCAATGGGATATTCACATTACAGTCAATAAGGTATTCAATCGAATGGGATGATTTATACAATTCAGAAAATCAAAGTAACTTTTCTATTGTTAAACAAAGCAAATAAGTACAGAAGCCAAACAGCAGGGTTAAAATTAAACTATAGTTTCTACCTGAGATGATTGCTACCATACTTCACACTTCTTGGATTTAGGGCTTATCTGGATAATCCAGGACGATCTCTTCTTGATATCCTTAACTTCAGCACACCTGCAAAAACCCTTTTTCCAAATAAGGTCACATTCACAGATTCCAACAAACAGGATGAGGACATGTCTTTTTGGGGCGGGGGGAGGGAGCTTCCATTCAGCCCAACAGGCATGGAGTAGAATGTGCACTAAGAGAACAAATTAACCAAATTCATGGGTAATTTTCTTATAAAGCAGCTCATTCTCAGGCTCTCTGTGAAATGGGGTGGACATATATCCTGCTTCATCTAAGTTTATGCTGCTGCCTTAGCTTAATGGTTCGTTGTCCCCTCTTTCACTCAAAATGTGCTGGTTTGTGGATGAATTACGTTCACGCTGGGTTACGTCATCCTATGAGGTTCATAGTACTCGAAGGTCGCAGGAGCGCTCTTGAGGAGGAGGAAAATGATGGGTAGATGGGCAGGCTTGCTCTGGATCCCTTTCTTGTCTTCACTTATTTTCTCAAGTGACGTCCATGGTGTAGCATGGGCTTTGGTTCTAAGAAAACATTTCAGAGGCAAATGGCAATGACTCTAGGTGTTTGCTGTTATCTTATTGACGACGTTTAGTGATCATGTCTTGGCTAAAAATAAATAACTCAGAAACATCTCATTTGGTAATGCGACTTTATTTAAAGGTATTTGGAGAAGAAGCGATTACTATTTCCAAGATTCTTCTTTGTATCTGATCCAGTTCTTCTGGAAATTCTTGGACAAGCCAGTGATTCCCATACCATACAGGTATAACCTAAGTATCTATTACCTAAACACTCCCCTCCCCCCCCCCCAGCTTACATGATGGACAATAAAAATGAAGTTAACACTTTAAAAGTGGAGGCAGGAAAGAGCGCATTAAAAATTATGCTGATTATACAATGTCCATTTTTCTGTGTATTTGGAGCCTGAAGCAAAGGTCACTGATTATGCCACTCAGCAGGTGGACGACCTTGGGCAGCTTCTTAATTTTCCTGCACCTTAGTTTTCTCGTCTGTACAAGCAGGAAATTAATGGCTCCACCTCATAGGCTTGCCATGAGGATTACGTGAGATAATGCAACGAAGAGTATCTGGCATACATCACATGCTCGCTAACTGTAACTCATTATCATGAGTATTTTAGTCTAAATATTCTTACATCAAATAGAGCTGGTGGTTTCGATTTGTCTTTTTTTCCATCTGGAATGCTTTGCAAATGCTTTTAGCCATTTCCCAGGGCAATACTTCCAGGAGGAAGATACAGAGAACTGGGAGTGGGAGGCATCCCAGGGCCAGTTCTGGTTTGGGAGTCTGGGAAACCGCTAATAATAGCTTCCCTGTTGGTTTCCGGGAAGTTGTGGGGATGAGAAAAGAGAGAAGCAAAAGCTGTTGCGTAAGACAGAGGTGGAGCCAAGAGAGAAGGCAGGACCGAGCTGGGGAGGGACCGTGTGGTTCGGTCCCTCAGAAGGAAGAGGACAGTCATTACTCCAATCTCCTTGGTCTAGAGGGCATCCAAGGACTTGGAGGACATGTTCTGCAGGGCTGGCTTTGAAATGTGCGCCCCCAACTCAGCCAAAGGTTCTTTTCTTTCTCTTTTTCTTCTTGAAACAATGAAGTGAATTCTTGATATTTTACAAAGATTAAAAATATTAAGGCTTTTAAGAACGTCTCAGCGGCTTTTGTATTTAGGCTCCTGGATGATGTTTTTGCGTTGTCTTGTGCTTCTTACAGCCACACCTCCCTGCAGTATCTGACAACATAAATGAAGTGACATTTCATGCAAAAGATTACGATCGGATCCTGGCCGTCATATCAAGAGAAGGAGAAAAAATTATTGTAATTTAACGTGGTTTCACTTTTGTTATGAGGAGAATGCAATTCTCTAATGAGAAGGGGGTGGGCCTGGGTTCCAGTTCTGTAGCCCCATGTTACACACTAGTTTGGATAATCAGCTAACTTCTTTGGGACTCATTTCATTATCTATAAAATGAAAGTTTTAGACCAGATGATCTTTCTAGTTCCTTCCACCTATACTATTAGTTGATTTTACTCATATTTTAAATATTTTGTGTAAAATATAGAACTATTTGTTACCAATATGTAATATATTTATAATCTATTTTTTAGTTGGACGGTCCTGTTATGGCCAAAGGTCCCGTAGAGATTTGGCTTCTGGACTTGTTAAAAATGCAGATGTCATCGTTACATAACATAATTCGATCTGGGTTCTATCAAATCAGTGATTCGGGATTTCAACTCTTACCTTTCCTCAGTCACTTTCCAGCACAGGTGAGAATATACACTGTTTAAATAATGGTTATGAGAAATGGAAATAAGGGGGAAGGATGCTCAGGAGGCAGTGGCCTGGTGTAGCTGTGAACTAGTTAGGGAGGCCTACCCACTGCTCCCAACCACCCTCTTGTCCACCACACCATTCCAGGCCCGCCCATCCCCTGCACTGCTCTCCCCTCAGTAAGAATATACAGAGACTAAAACCATTTATGGGAAATTTTACCTTATATATGAAAATCATAGGTATAGATACAGATACAGATATGGATGTGGATATCCTCCTATATAATAAAAGAGAAACACGAAAATTAACCATCCCTCTGCTATGCTCAAGCCACGCCCACCAGCCACACCCACCAGCCAATCAGGAGTGAGTATGCAAATTAACCCAACTAAGATGGCAGCGGCCACAGAGCTGAAGGGAGCAGGAGGCTTGGGTTGCCCCCGGTGATAGAGGAAGCCAAGCTTCCCACCTGCCCTGGCCAGCCTTGGGCTATACTCAAGGCTACAAAGTTTCAATTATAGAAGATAAATAAATCCCAGATACCTGCTTCCAGCCGGCTGTGGCCTCCCGTCAAGGAGGGGCTGGGAGCCTGGGTTGCCAGGGGCATCCAGCAGACCTGGGCTCTGCTCAAGACTACAAAGTTTCAATTATAGAAGATAAATAAATCCCAGAAAAAAGAGAAAGAAAAAAAGGAGAGGCTGGGAGCTTGGGTCGCCGGGGGGCATGGCCAGCCTGAAAATGGCCATCAGCCCCTCACCCAGGCTGGCCTGGCACCCCAGTGGGGACCCCCACCCTGAAGGGGATGTGGTCAGCCTGGAAACATCCCTCAGCCCTCACCCAGGCTAGCCACACCCCCATGGGGTGAGGGTCCCCACTGGGGGGCTTGACCAGCCTGAAAATGGCCCTTAGCCCCTCACCCAGGCTGGCCAGGCACTCCAGCAGGGACCCCCACCCTGAAGGGGGTGTGGCCAGTCTGAAAACAGCCCTCAGCCCCTCACCCAGGCTGGCCAGGCACCCCAGCGGGACCCCCACCCTGATCTGGGACACCCTTCAGGGCAAACCAGCTGGCCTCCACCTGTGCACCAGGCCTCTATCCTATATAATAAAAGGGTAATATGCAAATTGACCCTAACAGCAGAATGACTGGGAATGACTGGTCACTATGACACACACTGACCACCAGGGGGCAGACGCTCAATGCAGGAACTGCCCCCTGGTGGTCAGTGCGCTCCCACAGGGGGAGCTCTGCTCAGCCACAAGCCAGGCTGATGGCTGCCAGTACAGTGGTGGTGGTGGGAGC